TACTGGGACCAGCGGATGGCATAATGGTTACATTGCTGGACTCCTATGTAGTCGACCATGGTTCGAGTCCCAAACCCAGTGGCTTAAAACTCACATCAGGTGTGTGTGCATGCATGCCCAAAATTCCAAGAGGAGAGTAGAGGAGAAGGGATTGCAGTGTGGCCATCCTCCCTGGAGAGCGATTTCTCACTTTCTATGTCTTCGTCTCTCTGGCAAGGGCACATACCCTATAGGAAAAAAAAAAAAAAATCCTCTCAAAAATAAATAAATAAATAAATAAAAGAAAGATGGGACCAGCAGGTTGTGTGGTGGTTAAGGTGCTGGACTCTCACATGGTAACCACGGTTCAGGTCTCCAACCTGGTGGCTTGCTTTCTCACCTTCTCTCTCTCTCTGGTCAAATTATAAATAAATAAGTGAAGTTAAACAAAATAATTTTTTGAAATGAATAAAGTTAAATAATTCTAAAAAAAAGAAAGAGAAAAGAAAGAAAAGAAAAATAGCATGTATTAGGGTGAGCAGATGGCATAGCAGTTACATCACTGGACTCTCACATGGCAACCACGGTTCAGGTCTCCAACCTGGTGGCTTGCTTTCTCACCTTCTCTCTCTCTCTGGTCAAATTATAAATAAATAAGTGAAGTTAAACAAAATAATTTTTTGAAATGAATAAAGTTAAATAATTCTAAAAAAAAGAAAGAGAAAAGAAAGAAAAGAAAAATAGCATGTATTAGGGTGAGCAGATGGCATAGCAGTTACATCACTGGACTCTCACATGGCAACCACGGTTCAGGTCTCCAACCTGGTGGCTTGCTTTCTCACCTTCTCTCTCTCTCTGGTCAAATTATAAATAAATAAGTGAAGTTAAACAAAATAATTTTTTGAAATGAATAAAGTTAAATAATTCTAAAAAAAAGAAAGAGAAAAGAAAGAAAAGAAAAATAGCATGTATTAGGGTGAGCAGATGGCATAGCAGTTACATCACTGGACTCTCACATGGCTGACTGGGGTTCAAGTCCTGGACCCAGTGACTTGAAACTCACACCAGGAGCATGCATGTGCATGTCCTAGATCCTGGGAAGAGAATAGAGAAGAGATTGCGGCATGGCCATCCTCCTGGGGAGTGGTTTCTCACTTTCCTTCTCATTGTCTATCTCTCTCTTCGGTGAACACATGCACCCTAAGGCAAGAGGGGGCCAGCAGGTGACATGGTGGTTAAGGCACTGGACACTCCCACATGGCAGACTACAGTTTGAGTCCCACACCTGGTGGCCTCTCTCTCTTTTTCTCTGCTCTCAGTGTCTCTCTCTGGTCGAATTAAAATGAATGAATACATTTTAATAAATAAATAATTCTTTTTTAAAAATACAGAATTATTTTATTTAACTTTATTTATTTGTTTTTAATTTGACCAGAGAGGGACAGAGTGAGAGAGAGAGAGAAAGTGAGAAAGCAAGCCACCAGGTTTGGGACTCCATCCGGGGTCCAGCACGCTTAAC